CGATATGCAGTGCTGTATGTACCACCTTAACGGCCATACGTCAAACGTTATGCGGAACCATTCGGTAAAGCACTTACAAATGCAATCGTGAGATGGAACAGTAGAGGGTTGACGAATTTAAATACCTCGGTTTGATCGTCTCCAGCTTGCAACTAGAGTTAAATAGGAGGAGAATCGACTTTGCTTCGAGTGCTGCCCGGTTTTCTCTATTTTCATTGAAAAATGTACTCCTTTCCACTAAAATCACATCGGGTACTCTTCCCCATAGACGGGATCATTGTTTCCGTCGTTCATCTAACCTCTTCTCATTGTGAGCGCGTCACGAACGCAAGGGGACACTCCTCCAATCTTTTATCGTTTTGAGATGTTATATGGCGATTAGTTGTATGACAATTCATTTCGGGTGCAAAGACTCATAAACTATTGTCAGCGTCTGAACTTTCATCCAGCCCAACGGGTTTAGAGAAACGGAGCACTTTCTGCAGTTTTGGTCATGGACAGATATCATCGGCGAATGGTGGCAACCAGTACTTAACTCCACCGAAGCCGGCTCCTGCACTACCTCCAGGCGTTCGTTCTATGGAATCAGTGTTACTATATGGTACAGAAACCGTTCTCATAACGGAGGATCCAAAACGACCACTAGGCAGCTTATAACAGCTTTAGTCTTCGCGCATAACGACGATTTAATAGTTGGACGAAGTATGAGTGAATATTTTCTTACCGCCATAACTGTCCTCACTAGATGTTTTGAAAGAAAGAGCAAAATTGATTTATTTATGTACCGAGATGCACTTGATGTCTTAGATGATAGACCGATCAATACCGACATCGTCATAACTCATGGGCCTTCTTCGAGGTAAGAAAGTGACGGTTTTCGGCGCTGGGAGATCATCCATGGCAGTTGATCAATCTGGAGCTGCTTTAGACCTATAATTTGGAAGATCACGTTTTGACTGATTGCTTAATAGTTAATGCTTATAGCGTTTTTCAGTATGAGTACCGACGCAAGATGCTTCTCGATACATTTAAAATTCTGATATCAGATTTACACGACAACAATGTACCGTGTAAAGTAAGTCTCAGACTAGCAAAGTTTATTACTTTAAACCAATGTTGCGGTAGTGTAATACGGATAAAAGTCTTCGGGTTTGCATCGAGCTCTGCCGCAACATTGCACAGTGCTCCCATTTGGAATGGAGAACGGCTTATTCCAGTACCAGCAACACTGTAAATTCGGAGCTAAGCCTTTTGCTGTATATTTGAATTTGGATGGTGGCAAATTTTCTTGGTGTTGGAACATGCCGAATTACGCGGCGCGGGCTTGCGTCCTATGCATTCCAGTCGTTTAAATACCATGGAGACATGGTCTGCTTAAATGGTATTCACAGGCGACTAGAAACAAATGGACGGTGTATTGTTGCGGTAGAGCTCGTTGTAAACCCGAGGACTTGCTTCTTCTGACACCACCGCAGCATTGATGTAAAGTAGATGCTATGCTAATTTATCGTACACGGTAGGTTTTTGGCGGGTAGGTCTGCGTCTTTATATGAAATGTATTATATTCCGGCAGGATTGGAGTAGTCCTCCTTGTGGTAGTTGCCTCGAACATCGGGCTCATGTCTTTTCCGTACTACTCAAATGTATAATTTAGGGAAATGAGCCGGGTCGTCATGGATCAGCTTGTTGAGCAGGGCAACCGGGGTGCTTTTTATATGAGAATCGAAACACGGCAGGATCGATCAGAAGTGCGGCATGCAAGATAGGTGGTAAAGTTCTACAGATCTGCTTTCAGAGTGGAATTATTCCTCCTGCGATGCAGTAACCGATGCCTTAGAGGAAGAGTGTTGACAAACCGAGTCGTCAGACAAACTGTCTGCTTTTGCACAATTTAATCAACCAGTTGACCACAACGTAGAACATTTCCTCTGTTTACTGGTTGATCAGGACCGCCGGTTTTATCCGGTTGTCTGATAATGCGTTGAAGTAATAATGACAGAATGTATACAGTTTTCTGTGCACGACGTGCCATTTTCCGTTCAAAATGATGTCGAAACCGTACAAGTTTGGACACAGATTATGTCCCGTGGCACGGTTGCTGTTATCGTTACCGAAATAAATTATATGATTATTATGATATCATAATCTTTGCAGTTTTACAGTAATATCTTGACACTGTAAACATTAAAGTGTGCCGCGCTGACTTTGCTTTCGACTGCTTAGCAGGCTCTTGAAATTTATGGGAAACGCTCTGCTTTCTGTACATGTCTCATGAACCCAAATGCTACTTTTGTAGCTAATGAAGCGCCGGTAAGCAAATCAAATAACGTACATGCAGAGGTGCTACGGAGAAAGAAACCCTAGTTACAGACACAGCGGACTGATTACGAGCTGCCTATGTGTTTATACGTGGACAGAACGTGAAGACATGAGGTAACGTCTGTGGAGTGAAAGTAGAACCGTATGTTTTTCTCTTCTTTTTCCTCGTTTGGCTGCTGTTTGAACGGCATTAGTTACAGCTGACACAACGATGGAAAATGTACATAGGTTGCTGTCGTCTTCCTCTGCTGACGAAGGGTTGTTGTCAGAGATGAGTATCATGGTGAACTCGGCCGGTTGAACTGCACACCGAAGGGCATGGTCGCAGATTTCGTAAGCCGTCAAGGCACAGCACCTGTGCATCGTATTTCCTTAGCTATTCGCAGATGATAGTCAAGGTGATATTTGCATCTCAGGTGATCGTATGGAGACGTAGTGTTTTGAATTGCTTTGTCAAAGGTGCCAGCAGTTAAGAATGTTAATGCAGCATCTCCGTATGTGACGTACAGAACACCAATTGCTAGACAGCCGCTGCTGTGAACTTGTATTTTTTTCCTTTTACCGTTTCTTTTCCAAGAATTA